AACTGGTATTACCATTAGTGTTATATTATGGCAAACAAAAATCAAACCTGAAATAATTGAAGGAAACAGTCCTTTAGGAGCTCTACTCCACAGTATAGAAACCATTTAAAAATAAAATTTAGTCCCAGAAAGCTCAAATTCTCAGTCCTTTATTCCCTGTAGGGCTTAGCTTATCAAATTGCTCTTAAATAAGTATGTGAATATTTTCTTCAGTTATTAGTCCTATTGAATGGCAAATAATTCCTAATGTGGTTTTTTTTTTTTTTTCTCCAGAGTGAAGTTTGTCACAGTTAGCCAAGGAACACTGCCACAAAAAAATTAAACAATCGACTTTGATGTTCTAGATCAGGGAAATGGCCATGCAGAGGCACTGATACCACATTACCTTCCAGGTAGATTTTACAGTTTGCACATAGATAAGGAGAAAGCTTTCTTCTCCTCAACTACACCCATGCAACACCACTGTTGTAGCAGTGTGGCTGCCTGAAGCAGAACAGTTTGCCACTACAGAGAACCCAGAAAGCAATGTCTGAAAAAAAATTACAATTAAACCTGCAATGATACATTCTGCCAAAGTAACATCCATGTTTTAACATCCACATTTGACATGTAATTTTTTAAAGGCTAAATTTGTAGGTTCCACTATTCAAGCTTAATCTTCAGACAAACACTGATTTAAGTCAGTCCTGCTTCCTTTTCACTCATTGCTCACTCTAACAAAGCATTTCCAGCATGCTAACCTTTGCATTTGTACTAGTATTACTGAAGGAACTGTCATGCTGTGATCTAGACTATGGAATGGATCCAGAATAAACCATTTTCTTCTAAAGAAACAAATTTCAGTAACACATGCAATTTTCTAGAAACTCTTGACTTTAGAACACTTCCTTTAACTAAAAACAGTATTTTCCATTTTAATAAAGCAGCTCACATTTCAAAGCCTTGGATTCAAAAAAGAAATGTGCAGGTAGCAGACAAAACTTCAGTATTTTAAAGTTGCAAGAGGTGACCACCCTCTATCTCAAGACAGCCTGGGCAAAAGTAAGTATTTTCTACAGAGAGGGAAAAAAACTGGGATTACTTCAAGGCTATTTTATTAAGTGCAGCTTCTTTTAAAGCATACAGTCATCAACAGAATCTCCCATCAAATTCAGTCCTATTAATGGCTGCTGTTAAACATTTTATAACAGGATAATTTCAGCACTAATGTCTGCAACAATAGTGGTCTGTGTTTAAAGGTTTACATACGTGAGCAGACAAAATATTAAGTGGTGACTAACCTATATGATTAATGCCATGTACCATCCAATCATCAGGATATTCATTCTTCTGTCCTCATCTGACTAAACCAAACATTTCTGGACTGCCATCTGCTTTGCTTCTTATTTTGTTATTGCTGTTCAGGCATTGCACTAAGACAGAAGGGATACACTAGGTGTAGCACTGAAGTCCTGACACAGTTTTAGAAGTACAGAAAAACATCCTATGCTGTCAAACAACAGCCAGTGAACCTTACGTTGCTCCCACTTTCTGTCCAGAGCTAGATGCATTTTCGAACTGAATATAGAAGTGCTTATTCCTGCTTTGAGTTGTGCTCCTTTTCTTTTGTATGGACTTAGTGTTCAATTTCAGAGAATATACTATGGCAACTTAAGGCATGACACTGGTGAACTTTGGCCTCTCCTATTACAGTGTGAGAGACTGGGAAATCCTCTTCAGAAATCTTGTTTGCTGGGGCAGGACTTCACAGCAAACAGGAGAAGAGAGGTAAGGAAACAAAAAAATCTTAGTAGAGGCCAAAACTGCAAGTCATTGTAAATAGTTCTCAGCTGAAAAGCTTTGAACAGTTTCCTTCTATTTACCATCCTTCATGCAGCACAAGAAGCTTCCACTGGGGAGCTCCAAGGCTTTTATTATACCTATCTACCACTGCAGCCCATGTGAAACCTAGCAGGGATTAGTGCTCCTATCTGCAAAGAGACATGCAAAGACACTGCCTTATACTGGAGGGTGGAAGAAATGCTTCCAGGAGTTCTGAGAAAATATTAATGCAAAGCAGGAATTGAGAAACCCTCTGACTGCAAATGCTGTAGCAACAGGGACCAGATTATAGCTGTAGATAAAACCCTCTCACCAATTGCTGTTGACAGCCATCAGGGCCAAGTTCAGATAGCCAGGGGGACTCTTAAAATGAGCAATGCCATATAACTGAACCCTGGCAGAGGATACCAAAGAATGGAAGATTATTTTCTGAGTACTTTGCATAAGTGACACGCACCATCTTTCAAAGTGCAGAAAGAGCATCCAAAACGAGAAAAGTTTAGGAAGAAAATGAATAAAGCATCAACTTGTGACAACACATTGGACATGCAAATGCAACAAATCTTCCCAGCAAGCATTTTGAACATCCATTCACTAGGTGAAGTGTATCTCTTCCTCTTGTCTCACCTACTAAACCCCCCACAACTCAGACACAGTGTGTAGCCCAGGAACAGTCCTCAGGCAGTTTCTCTACACAAACTCTCTGCCTGGAGAATCCACTCCCTATTTCAGTGACACTGATTTCATCTGTTAGTCAGAGCACATTTCTTTGTGTCTTTTTTTTTTTCCCTGCAAAGAGCCCTTTTAAGCTGTCAATTCATTGCCATCTGTCAAGGAAGCCACTCTGTGGCATCACCCTGAAGAACAGCTCAGCATCACAGAAGCCTCAGTGGAAGGAGCACGCTCACCCAGAGCCCTGGGAGGCAAGACTTGCTCAATGTTTGATGCTCTTTTCCACCTCCTCATTTCTGAGCTGGACTCCATGAAGGATATAACTTTCCAGCTGCTGATTTTGCCAGCTTAGTTTGTATCAGCTTAAAGAGTTGCACAGAAGAGTTTTGTAGTGAATAAAGCCATAAGAGTAGCCATAGATTGTGGTAGAACTCCATTTTTCTGATAATTATTTCAACCAATGAGCTGCAATAAAGAGTAATGACTACTCTGAACTATGTCTACACAACAAGAAAACACAGGATCTTTACCAGCTGGGTAGCAGGTATGACAAAACATTCCTAGTCAAAACCATGTGATAACTCATGGCATCATGCTGATGCTTTGCAAGCCCTACTAAGCAGAAACAGCATCACCTTGACACAGCAACACAATTTCAAGCTTGCTCAGCCAGTGTGCACACCAAGACTACACCAGGAGACTCCTTCCATACAATTTTGCAGTGTGACACCAAAGCCTTCAGTGGCAGGGTGACCATTTCCACACAGTCCTGGAGGAACTGCAGGCAACACACTCAAAGGCCTCCCTCACAAACATTTTCTCCTCTGTTCACCAAGAGAATAGAGGAATGAACTCATTTTCCAGGGCTACAAGCTAGCATGGAAACATTTTCACATGCACAAAGCCTTAAAAACTTAGTTTTAGTTTCAAAAATTTTCCCCCAGAATGACAAAAAATAGGCTTTGAGCCAAAGAACAAAGCTCTTACCATAAAGCTTTAATAAAGAACAAAGACCATGTATTTCATCTCTCCAAGGTATCTACAGCAGTGCATAGAAAGGAATTTCAGCGGCTATTAACTGACTAGTTACATTATAGTTTGAGAGACGCGTTATAGTGCTCTACAATTATTGCCAACTCATACTAAATTATTGGCTTCTAAAACAGAGATATAAACAGCATTTAGGAGACAAAGACCTGTCAGTGTCAAGCTAATACTAGACCAATAACTTTCCTGTCTATGAAACAGCACACTCAAATACATGTCCACTCCCCAGCAGCAGCCTTTCCAGATCACTTCACCTTTCAGTCAAGCACCATGAGGAATCAGGTCTCACATGGGTGAGGCTGAAGGCTGTGGCTTGATGACACATCATTCAAAAGTGATTTTAAAATATTCCTCAGTCCTAACACCAATGCTTATTTATAGCCTATAGACACACCCCACATCACCAATTGCATTAACACAACTCAGTTGAGGAACAAAAAAATATTACAGGAAAGGGAACAGACAGCTGACCAGACAAGATGGTGAAAGGAGGATGGAGGCTCCCTCTCACAAAGCAGCATTACTGCCAGCATGCCATGAAGTCAGATGCCTTCTGAGCAAAAACAGTACAGTTGGGTTATTTTCACCTCCCCAGCTATGAGCTGGACAGTCTGTACGCTACCTCTGGGGAAGCCCAGAGCCCTAAGGAAGATTATCCTTCTACCCTGCTTCTCCTCAGGGAGCTGCAGAGATGGAGTCAGAACAAATCATTTGCAGTTTACCTGGTAGCTGCTGAGGGAGCTACTTTGTGGTGCTGAACTTGAGATTTTGGGCAACAGGAATTTCAGGCTGGTCTAACAAAAGACAAATAAGTAGTGTTCTTCAGCAGTGCCAGAAAACCACAGGATGGCTCATACCATATCACTATGGGAGACTAAGCAATACAGAATTAAACAGGTGTAGACCAAAAAATAGTGAAAAATATCATTGAGAACATCCCCATGCTACTCTGCAGACAAATTTGAAGCTTTGTTTCTAATATAACCATTACTTGTAAGATAAAGCCTTATATGTTTATTCCTTCTTCAACCAGCTCTGGCAACATCACAGAGATTGATTATCTTTGAGAGACTACCTACAGTAGCAGAGGAGCTCAGAGCCCTTCAATACCACCTGGTTTCAAGCCTTACTAATTAATCACCAACATCAGATGCAAGTCATCAACAGGACTCACAGTGATACAGCAACTCAGAGTCAGGGTTTACACTCTCCCCTAGCTCCTCAGAAAGTCTTCACCACCTCCATCCAAGCCACCAGGCACCAAAGCAGCCCAGTTGATACCTCCACACTTCAGGGGAGGGCCTGGCTGCTCAGATCTCTCCACACAACCCACACGAAGTGCTTCAGAAATACTGCAACTCATTTGTTTACAGAGAATGGATGAACAGATGGCTTTTTTAGGTTTGTACTACTTCAGGATGACCGCTCGTACATTTAATAATAATTCCATTGTGTCTTACCTTGCAGCTTTCAGCAGGGCTGGCTTTCATCCCTCCTGAGGTAGGGATCAGCTGGAGCAGGGCTTTGCTGTGGAGCCAGCACCCAGAAGGGCATGGCAGACCCAGCTCTGCTCCTGCTTCTCCTCAGGCCTTTTAAAGCTTCCCCAGCACCTCCCTCAGCTCTGGCCTCCCTTTCACCACCTGTGCAGGGCTGAAGGAGAAGGAGGAAGAGCTTTGCCCTTAACGCTTCGTGCCCAGGCCCAAATCCAAGCTTAGGGCAGTACTTTGCAGGTTTGTGCCCACCAGGGAAGAAGATCTCTCTGGTGACCCAGTGGGCAAAGTCATCCTTGGCTTAGCAAGCTGTGGACAGAAAATATAATATATGCAGAAATCAGTATCTCCAACCCTTTTTTTTTTTTTTTTTTTTTTTTTTTTTCCTCCCGGGGTTGCAAAAGACATCAGAGCCACAGTAACTACGGTATTTCAGCTCTGTGGACATCTTTTAAGGGCAGAGCTTGGCCCTCAGCATGCAGCGTGGCGGTGGCTGTTAATCACAACTTCCCTCTTCCACAGCCCAGGAGGGGAGGTTAAATGCCATCAAGACCTTATCTAGCGCCAAGCAGCCATTTTGGGTCCCTGTGCAGGGTGTTAGCAAGCCAGTGATGAATAAGGGAGTGTTTCTCCTTGGCAAGGCTCTCCATCATGTTAAATGAAGGCTTGACAGGCTTTGTGGCATGTAGCCTGCCCTGCACGTTGCCGTCAGTGAGGAGGGAGCAGCAGCTCCACTTCCAGGGTCATGGTTTTGCATTGACAGCAGCAAAAACAACAGCACAAGGGCTTCGAGACAGGACAGCAGAGAGGCACAGAGTAGGTAGGATCCTTATCAGAGAAACACACAAGTCCAATGTGTGGGAAAGGTGTTTTTGTGCTGAGTTTCTGAATACGTTCTTGAGGCTAGAATGGATAGGATAGTGCTGGTGAGCAGTGTTATTCATATATTCTTTTTAATATTCATGACATAAAGCTGTTGAACTAGGAAGTTGATTATTATTCTGTGGGAACAGAGACAGTTTGGACAGCTAGATTGGTACAGTTAGAAACAAAACCAAAACAAAGCAAAACAAAAAATCCATAGCTGAGAAACAAAGACAAGCTTTTGCTAGGTCAGCTCCTGTGCATCGCCTTGGGGAAAACAGAAGCCTCTGTTGATTTTGTGATTTTTGTTTCTCAGTTCCGGCAGAGGCATTTGGGAGGAAATTATGGACATTTTTACTTTGAGGAAGTTTCATTTTCAAACTTCTCTACTCATATGAGCTTTTCACAGTCTCTCAGGATCCCCTTTTGCTTCTTGTGTGCTAGGGGAGAGTTCAGCAATCAGCTCTGCAGCACAGTGGGGAGGAGGATGGTCAGACAAATAAAATAGCTCCTCATACCTTAGGTTAGGAAGAGAATCCAAGCCTGGAAGGACTAGTTTATTTCATTGCTTGGTATTTTGATCATAACCATTATGGTGGCTTTGCATCCAAGATCTGCTTAGACCCAGTCAAATTCATCCGTTTTTGGATTCTCATTTCACTCAGCGACAGGGAACCGAGGGGAGGCTGGGCCTCCAGCTGGCGCATGGTCTCCTCTGAGTACTGCTGTTTTAGGAATGAGCACAGCAGAAAGGCAATGGAGCTGTATTTGTCATGCACTCACTTTCAGTGCTAAGGCTCCATTCAGAAAGAATCACCAAGCTTCACATTTGTGTTACTTCTTTTTCGACAGTTGTGGAATTAAAAAAAAAGGGCATTCATTCCATTTTTCATGGCTGCTCAGGGGTCAATATGGAAAAGTGTCAGGACAGTGTCTAGCAAGACATGCCTTTGAATTCTCCAGAGCATTCAAAATGTTGTACTTACAATGACTAACACACCAGTGCTATGTGTTGTATGTGAGAACATTCCTGTTATCTTGGGAATGGAGCTAACAGGAGACTAACAAAGGCTAACAAAGAACCTCAAGGGTAAAGAGCTCATGGGCATGTGAATGAATAGCTCACAGACCCTCAGAAGTGAATGTCTGTTCCTCCCTGCTCCTCCTGCCGGTGTTTGAAGTCATCTCACCGGGTTCCCCACTGGTACAGTCCAGTATGGCCTTGTTGAGTTTTATCAGGTATTGTCAGATGGAAGCTTTCCAAGAAAGATGCTCTAATTGCCTGGGAAAGGGGAGCTACAATGCTCTTACTGGATTCTTGCACAGAACAACTTAACCCAGTCATTATTGCTTGTATCTCATATAGTGGCATCAGACCAAAATTCTCAACATATTTTTAGCATTTCAAAATGTCCACCACTTCTGCAAACCCCTTCAAACAGGTCTTTTCTTTTGCATGCCCCACAGGCTTATAGGAATGGAGAGAGAATGGCGCATGCCAGCTCCTGCTGAAACTGCATTGCACTAAGACACTGCTGAAGGAGTAAGAAACTGCACATATTCCTCCCCTTGCTCATTTATCTTCTTTATTTACTGCTGAAATAGGAATTGACGGGTTGCTTGGGTGCAGTGTTTCTTTGGGGGTGGGAGGGGAACTGCCTGGGTGTCCTCTGCCTGGCCAACCAACAACTGCTGTCCCCTCTGTCCCCTGTTTTCACAGTTGGAGGCACAGTCTGTGAGTCTCACAGAAATTGCTTTTCCAGCATATCTGATGGTTTTGTTCCTCTCTTTATGACCTGTAGCACAGTTGTACAGTCACTGGAGAGTCAGCTTTGCACAGCACTGTTTTGGATAAGCAGATTTTCTGCCAAAGAAAATTAAAAATAAAAAACAGGTGGCTGTAGAAGGCAGAAGGGCAGGTGGACTCGGATGCTGCAGCCAAGCAGTTTGAAAGGATTTGCCAGCTGCTGTGCAGGGTCTCAGTGGGACCAGCAGCACCTGCATACCTGGATGGCTTCACCAGCAAGTGCAGAGTGTTGGGAAGCAGAAAACACAAGCCACAGCAAAGAGTTGAAAAACCAGCCAAGGAAAGAAAAAGGAATACAACCAGACAGCAGAGCTGTGCCACTCCAGTATCCTCAACGAGGCCATCATGGTTTGTAGCCTGATGTGGGTTCACAGTGTGTGTGTCCAGGCTGGCCACGTATTTGCGAACAGCACAGAACTGAGCCTCAGCTGTGAGCCATCATCACAGGGGACTGGGTCTAAGCACACAAGTTAATGTGGATACCCAGCTCCTGGATGGCTCAGAGGGTCCAGAGCAAGCTCTGGATAAGATTGTGAAAGATCATGTAGACATAACTTTAATATCAGGGCAGGAGTATATGATTTAGCATATGTAAAGAAAAAAGCTTGCAAAAAACTATGCATGAGCAACCAGTAATGCCTCTGACGGTACCTCAGAGGACAGCGGCTATAAGAACAATGAGCTCGCAACTGGCCACGCTTTGCTAGCTCTCTTCTCCAAGTAGAAAGGCAGTAGTGTGTTTAGTTCCTTACACAGACATTGTTCAGTCCTATTTTCCTTTCTTTGCACGTTTCTACTTTTCAAGTGTATCTTGGACAGCAAAGAAGCTGAATATATATGTTCAGTTTTACTCTCAGCCACAGCCTGGAGAAAAACTGATGTTACATCAGAATTAATCTGCGATACCACAGTGAAGAGAGGTCTGCAATTTTCAGGCCTAATCAAAGCATGTTTTTTTTTTAAGAACATTTGATGCCATATTTTTAGTTAAGTTATTTTGCAAACCTCAGAGCAATCACTGCCTATTCTCAATGTCAGAGTGTTAAAATTATTCTGGTAAAATAAGAAATCTCCTCAAAATTCTATCAGGCCTTGACATTATATAAACTTTGGTAAATGCTGGAAAAAAAAAATTGTTTACTTTCCCTCAATTTTTCACTTTTATGCACTTCCCATTTCAACTGGCCCAAGGAAAAAGTTGTGAAATTATCATCGCTCAAGGTGCTTTCAGCATGCCTGAAACAGAAATCCTATGGCTAAGGCTATGCCTGAAGTAAGTCTAACTAGGAACATTTTAACTGAACAATGAGATCATTTTAAAGTGCTTATCCAAATTGAATCTGGAAACATTTAGGTAGTCTTAACACATCCTTGAAGCCCTGCATTACAGCGACACAAACATGACACAGTGCATCCTGTTGCCATCTTCCTGCTTGATTGATGATTTAAGAAAGCATCAAAGCTGTGTGACAATTTTTGAATGTTGATTTTTGTGGGAACTTTCAGAGAAAAAAGTTTGTGAAGAAAAATGCATTGCAAAAGCCTGTACACTGAAATATTCAACGGAATAATATAGCAGTTCATCCTTCCCTGAACTACAGCTGCAGTGAATGCAACATGTACAGACCAGTACTGTGAAGGTGGGGAATGAGTATTTTGGGTGATCTCATAGGAGCTAATTCTTGTCTTGATGTGATCAGCAGCTCTGTTGATAGCCTCAAAAATTAGATTTAAGCTATGTAACTCAGAGAACGTGTGCTCCATGTCTTAGCTGGGAGAAAGCAACAAACTGTGGGAGGACACAGAGTGGGTCTATTGCTTTGTTAGAACAATAGCTTGAGGAGGACGCCTGTGCTCACAAGGGACAATGTGGTGGCACAGGGCAAGCAGATGGATGTCACCGGGATCCTGGAGGGCAGCTGGCTTGTCCCAGGTCTCTGATTCTGCTAAAGTCAGCCTTTTGGGCTGAGTATGCGTGTCTGGAAAGGGAGAGGAGGAGAAGTGAGGCTGGTTTAGTCCCTGTCGTTTCCTCATTCCCTATCTTGGTTTTTGTTATTCATTTGTGTCGTTTCTGTGTTCTTTTGTCCTCCATGCTAATTTGTTATGCTATTATCTGTGGAGGTGGCTTCACAATAAAATTAAGGAAGATAAATCAACATTCCCAACCTGCCTGGGTTGTACTTGCTCTGTTAACTGTCTTTTGAAAACGTGTATTTAATTAACGTAGAACATTTGGATGCCATTTTGGGAGGCTGCGAGACTGCTCTGTCTCAGATCCACTGAACTGTTATTGATCTCTTAAGATTGCCTGCATTTGTGGTAATTCTTAATGCTTTATATTTTGTATTTATGTCAAAACCAAAATAACAATGTAGTGAAGAAAAGAGGGGAAAGAA